CTCAAAATTTCGCCTATGTAACCATCTTCTGCGCTTTAGTAAAAAAATTTCCTTGCAAAATTTTAGTATAAGACATGGATAGTTATAATTATAAACCTGACCTTAATGTACCGTTTTATGGTTTTAAAAAATTGTCGATCAGTGAAAATCTGTCGGTGCCACTGGGGTAGTTAATAAAATATTATAAATAGCACAGGCTGCCAACCATTGCACAACGGTTGGTTGGTTGGCGTTTCGATACCCACCGGGTGATTAATGATCAGTGTTATGTATCCCGATTTGGAAATGGATGTATAGTAAAGGGGTGGGTGGGTTCTGGCTATCGGACTTTCCGAACGGCTGATGCATAATAAGCAATGCCAAACGCCCCAACTGGGTCACCTTACGAGTACTAGTTTTATTAATTTCGATATTTGTAGTTTTATTACACAATGTCGGAATTTATATATATTCTAAACGTGCAATACATAAACCGTGATCATTATTTATCGACTTGACTAGTCAATCATCCAATCATCTTTGTTTGCTTTTCGGAATTTTTCGAGAAATACAAAATCGGCTAAATTTGATTGGTTGCTGTAATTTTTTAATAAAGTCTAGCATAAAGTCGACGCAAAATCGACTACAAGCACTACGCGCGTAGCCACATAATAGCACAAACTATTTTTAGTAAATATATAGTAATCATTATAAATAAACAAAACCAATACGTATACGTACAGTAATGTTAATATTATATTTAAAGACTTAGAACGGAAAAGGATATTGATGCATGTTTTCGAATAATAAACAAATATTTATGATAAATCAAATTTTTACTAACTTAATAACTATATATATAAATTAATAATATGAATGCTTAAAAAGGATCTCAATTAAGTCATATAGCATCATCATTTAATAAAATATACTTTTGTTCATTTCCATTTTCTTTAAGTGCCGTAAAATTGACTGTAAAAAAGCCAGAAAGAATCATAAAAGCACCCAACCAATATGTATCACTCATTAAAATTCCTTTGAATACAGAATCACCAACCAACGCCATAGGTATTGTCAATGATAATCCAAGTGTAACAACCAATGGTGAAGTCATAAGCACTGCCAACAGCCAAAGATAATCCGAAAGGAATGTACCTACCAATGCGTTAATTGCTATCATGATCCAGATAGTATTGTCCGGAGGTAATTGAAAAGACTCGATTTTGAGCAAATCAAGTAACCAAAAAAAAGGCCATAACAAGAATACATTAAAAATTCCAACAAACCCAAAGAATAAGGGCATATTGACACGAGATTCATTTTGTATACGAAGCTTCAATAAAACCGTGTAACAACCATAAAAGAATGCACCAAGGAGGGCGAGAAAGTCACCAAACAAGGGGTCAGACGGAATTTCTGGATTGCCACCAGGGGTTTCTGGTGCACCTTCTTTAGAAATCAAGAAAACACCAATTACACTAATAAACAGAAATATATGATAAACAATACTTTAATAACTAAAGGCCGCTAAAAGTATTTAAAAAAATAATATAACTTTATTACCTAATCAAAACAGCGATGAATTTGAGAAACGATAATTGTTCTATCCCAACAAGGGCACCAATACCTAAAGTAAAGAACCCTGCACGAAAATTTCCAAAATATTATTCCTAGTAATAAGTTATATCTGACCATATATAATTAAAGATTTTATCCGTACCTGACATTGAAGCTAAAATTGTACTACTTGCTACAGTAGTGTATGCAAGGGACGCATTACTGCTCCAATTTGCTAACGAGTGAAATGAACAATATTCGTAAATAATAATAATAATAAATTAAAATAAATTAACAAGAGCCAAGTATCAATAAGTAATATAAGTTACCAGCAAACCACAATATACAAAAGGTTAAGCCTAATTTTGCGATCTACCATGAAAAAATTGTTAATGGTTGGAGATAGTCTATATAAAACAAAAGAATTTATAAGCCATACCTCCCGCTTAGACAACTTTTGTTCGTCACGAACCGATAAAAGTACATCATGGGGATCAATATGTGAATATGTTCCTATATAATGATGTAGAGTTATTCGATGTGTACTAAGAAACAATCATAGACTATTCAACCTTAACATGATTGTACCACTTTGTGGCGTAGTAGATATACATTGTTCTACAGGCTGATATAAAATGTGTAAATTCCCAGAAATTATATAACAAGAATCTAAAAGACAAATAAAAAAACGTTTATCGTTATACCCACAGTTACATGAGTAACATCATCAGATTTTGCAGAATGCTCACTTATGGATTCTGCTGATGACCGTGAAGCAAAATCATATAGAGCATGATTGAATTCCATAATTCTAAAGCATAAAAGAAAAGATTCGTTATAAATTAACAACAATACCACATAATACTAAATTTCCATCTTTAACAATTATTCTTTCTAACAATAAACGAAATTTCTCGCATTGTATAGGAAGTCTCAACAAACGCGTGTGTTACAACAATAATATAGTTTCATACCTTTGTTTGTCAATAGAATGTTTTTTTTTAAAAAGAAAAAATGCCAATAGATATAGCGAAAAAGACGCGGTATTTATATATGTTATTGCGAATGGTTTATTATAATCTCGTCCCGCGAAAATATTCTACAAAGAACAATAAGTAACTACAAGAATACTGAACGAATACATGAAAAACGAATTCTTACATTCATTAAGAACGAAGAGCAGACCCATATAACGACTACACCAAGTAAAGTTACGATACCAGCAGCATATCGCTGCCGTTCTTTTGTGAGCATTGTTCAAAGAAGTCTTTCTGGGGAAAGAAACGAATACATTGCTGCAGAAGTATCGCATATATAATGATAAGCCCATACCCCTGTTTATTATGTATAGTATGCGCATATCAATCATATCAATACGTGTGCTCACGTGATAAGAGTTATATATCTAAAATATGACGCTTAAAGTACATATCTGTAAAGATGTCTTATCTAACTCGTACCATTAAAAATTTAATTAAAATCGGACCCAAAGAATATTTTATACAAATGATGTATATCGGCGACACTAAAGCTGGTACCCTTGTTGGAATCGATCAGTTTGGTAATAAATATTATGAGAATAAAGAAGAAATATTTGGTACGTGTCCTATCATTTAACACGAATCAGCTTTACTTTACGACACGAAGTAACTTATAAACCCTATGCTTGATATTGATTCACAATTTTTATTTTCAGGTCGTGATCGCTGGGTTGACTATGCACAGCATTACGGAGATGCTAGTCAGATCCCTCCAGAATGGTTTGTTAGATACTTCTTTTCTCGAAGAAACTTCAATAAAAAACTTGTAAATTTGGTGAATTAAATTTTTTTTTTGGATAATACAGGCACAATTGGATGCATAAGATCGTTGATACTCCACCAACCGTTGATCCACGACCACATCCTAAATATGTTCTTCCACATACAGAGAATTTAACGGGAACTCGAAAAGCTTACAGGCCATACAACACGACGGCACCCAAAATTACTGCGTGGGAACCGAAACCTTTTAAGAGGGCATGAGATTGATTTACGCAATTAATACGGGGATTTCAAAATTAAAATCAGAGAATCTTATTTTATTTTTCCGATTTATAATTCAACATGGTAAAAATACTTTTAAAAAATCCTACTTATTTTCGAAATGCACCACTTATTTGTTAATTTTGAAACCCTCCCTAGTGTTGTGCGTAGGGATGTAAACTTAATTAAAATAATTTGGTCATTAAAAAGTCATAATCAAAAATCCATTATATTCCGATATATTTAATTACTAGATTTATTTGAGAAGATAGAAAATAGTTTTTGTATTATTGATGCTAAAATTACTGTAAATACGATAAATAATTTTATCATTAAATTTATCAATTAATTTATCATTAATACACCATAGCGATAGCAATAAATTCTTTGTATATTAGAAGTGTTACGCTTCATTACTAATCTATATAATTACATATCAAATTCGCTATTTGCTTCGAACATCCTATTTACTAAATCAACTGTACTATAATCAAACAAATTATATTATTAACACGTGATAACTCATTAACTTTCAATTGGACGCCAGTTTCAAATGAAAATTTTGAAATATCAATGACTTCCGAAATTGCAAGAATACTCCTATTGTGTTCGATAATTTCATGATTATTTGATGAGGAAAGTTCATGGATATTTGACGGTAAAAGTTCTTGAATGTTTGAAGATATAAGTTTCTGAGTATTTGATAATACAAATTCTTGAGTATTTGGTGTTGAGAATTCTTGAGTATTTGATAGTGAAAGTTCTTGATTTGAGCAAAATGAAAATTCATCAATATTTAAAACTATAGTATCATTTATTGAATCTTTTAACTTTTGTTGGGTTGAGTCTTTTCTATAATGAACTAATTTCTTTTTGATATTTGTTAAATAATAAGATCAGGTTTTTGTTATTGATTCAAAATAATAGATATCAAGTCTATATTGATTGTCATCATATAACCATCCTAATATAGAAAAGTTTCTTTCACATCCAACTTGGAAAGGCATTATTGAAAATAATTTAATTGCAAGTTGAATTAAGGGTTGTTTTTCTTTTTTATATTCTTCTTCATCAAATGTAAACCATTAGTTAAGAGATGTTTTACATTCTTTTTTATATTTTTTATTGAAAAAACTTTTATTTCATTTATAATTTCTAAGGTCAGTTAATAAATTTGAACAAGAATACTCATTATTTCTTAGAGTTTTTCAATAATTAATTGCAATTTTACAAATTTGTCTAAATGTTTCCTCTTTAATTTTAAGTTACAATAGCCAAGATGCAAGAAATATTTAAGTAAATATGTATTATAATCAAACTATTTATATTGATAATTAAATATAATAATAGCATTATCTTTTTTTTTTTTTCGATATTAAGGTAACCTCTTTGGTCCGAGCTTTTTATTAATACTTATAGCGGGTACATGTTTTATATAGACGTATCTATAATGAACTATT